TCCTCCCTGGAAGTGCTGAAGGCCAGGTTGGATGAGGCTTTGAGCAACGTGGTCTAGTGGAAGATGTCCCTGCTGCTGGCAGGGGGGTTGGAACTGGATGAGCTTTAAGGTCCCTTCCAACCCAAACCCTTCTATGATTCTATGATGATCCCTGGTGTTGTATCAGAGTGAGCACTGCTGTCTTGCTCTGATGCACAGGCAAAAACGTAGCTATGGACCTGGAGTTAAAGTCTGAACACTGAATCCTTCCCCAGCCTTTTTTTAAATTTTACTCATGGCATCTGAGCAGTTGGCACCAGGTGGGTGCATTCAGGAAAGGGAAAGACCTTGCAAAATATGGCAAAGTTAGACTAGATAGGAGTCCAGCGTTAGCAGCTGCTCTCTGAGTAGTCCTTGCAAAAGGAATATGAAGTGGTTAACTTACTGGATGAAGGCTGGCAGGTTCTCCCTCCCCTAACAAACAAACTGGCGACACTACCCTGCGTTCATCAAAGTTAGGAGCATATCTCCTTGCTTGACTACTAAGGAGGAGCTGAAGCTTAATGAATTCATATCCCCTTTTCTTATCATGCAGTAGCAGTTACATCATTAGAGGATTACTGCCGCATACCGAGCACGTGTTCTGCTCGTGGGGAAGGAGGGTGATCGGGGTTTAAAAAAAGGCAGATGGGAAACTTCAGTCTCAGTAGTTTGGCAGCCCATGGCCAGGTTTCAAACCACTCCACTGATGGACTCTGCTAGCAGATACACGTGTACGTTTGGAGTGGACTGTGCAATAAATGTAGCGGCAAAACGCTGCTGAAATTTTCATGGGCTGTTATTTTAGTGAGTTGCCTTTCTGCTCAGTGTTGTTCTTTCCAGGAGATGACTGCTTTGGGAGGAAACTATCAAGTTGCATTACCTTTCATGTTCATGTAACGTAGGGTGTAAAGCAGGAGGAGTGTGAAATCGCTCTGTACACGAAGTGCACTTCGATGTTTAGTGTTGGAGCTCAGAACAGCCTGTTACAATTTGTACCGAGTGTAACTGCTGTCAACAACAAACTCATTTCAGGTTGGTGAAGGGAACAGCTTATCACTGGGACCTCCTGCTCGTTGCACTGATTAACACAGGGCTGTCAGTCTTCGGCCTCCCATGGATCCATGCTGCCTTCCCTCACTCCCCAATGCACGTCCGTGCCCTGGCCTACGTGGAGGAGAGGGTTGAAAATGGACACATCTATGAGACGTAAGTAGGAACTGCAGAGCTGTCTTGTATCTCTTTGGTTTCATTTGTGGTTTCCTGATCCTTTGGGTGCTGTGGGTTGTGTGGTCGGGGAGTTAGCTATCTTCTTGAAGACCTGCAAGATATGAAGGTGGAAGGGAGATGTGCCACGTGAAGCCACCTCAGCCAGCATGGCCTGTGATCCCACTTCATCCTCCTTCACCAAAGCTCTTATTTTAGGACAACTACAAATTTATACTCTTGTCAGTGGCTGGCAGCAGCATGGAGGAGTTCCACCCACTCTGGTGCAAACTGTCCTTTGGAAGAGTCGTCCAAGGCCTTTTTCGGGTTTATCCTTGTGGAGATGCTTTGACCAGATCTTTCCAGATGTCTTCACCAGGAAAAATGCAGTCTGATTCATTGCCTGAAACCTGTCTGGTGGTTATTACAAAGGGTAGGAAAAATGCAGCATTATTTCAGAGCTCCCATAGCATCTTCTGCCACGTTTTGGGAAGGCGAGATGCTTATTAAATTCTCTTGTTTTTAAGCAAAAGTGACTGTGAAGCCATGCCCAGGTCACAGCTTTCTGTTCCAGACCAGCTTTTTGGCTGTTCTGAGCTGTCCAACACACTCTTATCAAACACCTATTTAAAAAGAAAACCTAATTTCTCATGAAACCTGCTTCAGAATAGAAATTATCTGGTCTGTTTGATCTCAGTATGTTACAGTTGAGTGCTTTTATCTCAGAAGTGGTATTTTCCACTCACATGCCATTAGTTTTAATTATCTTGTCTTGGTTTCCAATTTCAGAGTTGCCACTTATCAAAAGTGAGGCTAAGTGGTCATTTACTTTGGGGGATGGAGTGGGTCTGTCTTTTAATTTCAGTTTTGCCTTCACGCTGTTCTTGGTGCCAGCTGGCCCAGCCCAACCTGTCACAGCTGCTTTTTGGGTTGGTGATGGACAGATTTCACCTTCCATATCTGGAAATTGCTGAATCCTGCTGTTCCCTGCAATGCTTTTACAGATCTCTGCTGGGAGATCAGTCCCTTGGGCTTGTATTTCCATTAGTATGTGATGCTATTAGTTGTTCCTACAACTATATCTGTGTTGAATAAACACTAAACCTTTTTATTTTTTTTATATTTTTTTTTTAAAAAGGAACTTTGTAATTTGACTTCTGTAGGGTTTTAATCCATGCCCTTGCTCCTGGTGTCCATGAGCTGAGCTGGGATACCTCTGCCCTCCATTTCTTTGTGAGAGGCAGAATTTACACTTTGAAACTCGTGTGCCAAGCCTCCCTCCTGTGTCTTCTGTTGTTAATTTGAATACCTGGTGGCTTTTCTCCTATTTTACCACTCAGTGTCTTTGTTCTGGCTTATTCTTGATGAAGTCAAGTCTACTGCCCAAATTAAGGACTACCTTCTACCCTTGTCTTCTGCTCCTTCACCCAGCTGCCCCAAAAGAGCATTGTAGAGCTCTCTTTGGCTATGCTAACCTAGATATAGCTCCAGTGATTCTCTGGAAAGGGCTGAGGGATGCCCTAATCTCACTAAATGTGTTCCCTCGTAGCACAGCTCTTCCTGTGCTGGAGGCAAATCGGTATGTAAATGAGTTCTGTGAAGTGGATTTTGGGAGTGAAGAAGGGAACAAGCATTTCCTAGGTATTTGAACTCCCTTTGAGACTTGAAGCTTTTTGTTCTCTGCAAAACATTGAGCTATAAACAGGAGGCTCTGAGTAATGTTGTCATCTTTTTATTTTTTTTTTTTTCTCTTAGCCAGCTCTGCTGAAAAAGAAATGTAATGAAACTCAATTAGAAAATCAGGAGTTTTCTCCCCTAGCCTGTTCCTTCCCTGAATTCAAATCAAAGCTCTCGGTGAGGATGGTGATATAAACAAGAATAAAGATCTGTCAGAATGAAAGCAAAATTTTCTCCCCTGTAGAGTAACCACTTGTTTCGTGTGGCAATCTGCAAATAGGTTCTCATGGCTCGTATGGGGTAAGTCAGGAATGGCTAATCCTGTGCTAGCCTTGTTTAAGGGATTCTGGAGAAATGAGCCTGGATTATGCTCTTCAGTCTCCATTAACTATTTCATTTCCATTGCAGCACAGGATTTCTGGAACTGTTTCTTCAAGGACCAAACCAGATTCTGAACACAGAATCACAGAATGTCAGGGATTAGAAGGGACCTCGAAAGATCATCTAGTCCAACCTCCCTGCTGGAGCAGGAACCTAAATGAGATATTTCATGCTTATCTTTATATATATTGATACCTATCTCCATCATCCTCTATCTTATCTCACTGCACACATGCAAATTACTTGATTTCTTCTATTGATTTAATGTGGCTGTTCTTGATGTCCTCACCCTGGAAATAAGAAAAGTGCTAGAACTGGTGAAAGAACAATTTGAGGCTGGGAACTTCAGCTTTAAAGATATTAACTGTCACAGAATCCCAGAATGGTGGGAGTTGGAAGGGACCTCAGGAGATCATCTAGTCCAGCCCCCCTACCAAAGCAGGTTCCCTACAGCAGGTTGCACAGAACTATGTTCTGATCAGAAATTCCAAACTACTTTAATAAGTGGCATTAGCAGGAGCTGACAGTAGTAGTTGCAGTACATCTTGTATGTGATCAAAGACTTCAGAGCTGTGATTGCTGCATCCCCAAGGGATGACAGGCAGAGAATTTCATGAACTTCAAAAATCCATTACCAAAGGGCTGCTATTCCGAGCTCTTCTTGTACTTGCAGACTTGCAGCTGATTGAAATGTGGTGGCTTCATATCTAATTTTGATCCTGGGCTCTTTGGTTTGCATGACTTCGTTTGCAAAGAAGCCGGCAGACTTGTGCGTGCTCAGACTGATGCTTGCAGGTCATGAGCATCCCCAGAGGTGGGTTAGATCTTTGCCTGGAATACAGAATCCCAGAATTGCCTTGATTGGAAAAGACCTTTAAGATCATTGAGTCCAGTCAACACTGACAAGTCCTCAACTAACCCGTGTCCCTCAGTTCTTGGATTTACTGAAACGGGGTGGCAGCAGGCAAGTAGGTACCACTGAACAGCACTGCTGAGAGGTGGCTGGTAACTCTTACCTCCACAGAATCCCAGAATTGCCTCAATTGGAAAAGCCCTTTAAGATCATCGAGTCCAATCATGAACCCAACACTGACAAGTCCCCTATGACTAACCCATGTCCCTCAGCACTGTGTCTACACGACTCTTCAATCCCTCCAGGGATGGGGACTCCACCACTGCCCTGGACAACCCCTTCCAATGCCTGACAACCCTTTCAGCAAAGAAATTCTTCCTCACATCCAATCTCAGCTGCCCTTGGTGCAACTTGAGGCCATTTCCTCTTGTCCTGTCCCTTGTTCCTTGTTTGAACAGACCCACCCCCACCTCTCTCCACCCTCCTCCAAGGGACTTGGACAGAGACACAAGGTCTCCCCTCAGCCTCCTTTTCTCCAGGCTCAACACCCCCAGTTCTCTCAGCTGCTGACAATATGTACAACCTGCACCATTGCTCACCAAGGAATTCAAATGTTGTCCTCTGAACTTTGTGTACTGTTTGATATTTGTTGTTCCTAAGGTCTTGTGACTGCTTGTGTTAATTCTGCCACGTTACCCAAATCCTGAGAGCAAGCCTCAGGCTGGTACCCTTTCCCTCTCCCTCTACATACAGGTGTGGAAGGCTCCTTCATTCCCTCAGCTTCCTTATGCTCTTGAATATATAAACAGATTTGAAGTTCAACCTGACCTTACTTATAAGCCAGACTCTCAAAAACTTAATATTGAAAGAATTTGCTGGGAAGCAATCTTCTTTACAACAGAGGGATTACAAAGTCCCAACAGTGCATATGTAAAAAGAGGGAAATATGTTTTGATAGATCTCGTGGCTGGCTCTTGTGTTAATCCTCAGAGTATTTTGTGTACAGGGTTAATTTGGAATATGAGGTCTCGCATCCAGGGAATGAGGCCACTAGATGACACAAAAACAGTCTATGGACAGTAATTTCTCCTGATAATAGGGGGATTTACTCACTAGCTTATCCACTGAATTGGTGGATTTATCTTCTCAAAAAAAGTTATGTTAAGAATCCTGCTTTTCTCTATTTATAAGTAATTTTGACAGATGAGGGTTTTCTTTCCTCCTATTGTTTCTGGCTTTTTTTTTTTTTTTTCAAACTAGGAGTTGCTCACAGGTTTAATTGAAGTGAAAAGAAAACAAAGCAACCTTCCTTCACCCTCCCCAAATAGGCTCTGAAAATTGCTGCATGTTTTCCTGCCAGTTGTCTTTTTTTTTTTCCCCCAGATTAAAAAAAAAATCAATCTGTGGTCTGTCAGCTCTGGAAAATTTGCATTAATTAATTACATGTTTTGCATGGTAATAGGCAATTTGCAGTGCGACTGCTATCCACACCAGAATTAAATTTCTAACTTGCTGTGTAGTGCTCTCAGCTTTCCCTTCTTTATAAACAAGGAGATCCTCATATACATCAAAAATGCTGACTTGCAGTGAAGAGAGTGCAGACTTTTTTTTTTACAAGAGGTTCATTAGTTCCTGTAGATGTCGATGAGTTTTCTTTTGGATAAAAGCCAATTGTCTATGCACTGGGTAAATCGAGGAAAGGATTGCTGCCCAAAAGGAGGATTCCTGCCTGGTTTTTTTTTTGGTGGGTTTTTTTGTTGTTGTTGGTTTGGGGTTTTTTTTTTATTTGTTTTGGGATTTAGTTTTATTTTTCTTGTAATTTGCTAAACAGAATTGGTTTAGAGGGCAATTTAGTTCAGGATAGGATCTGTGGAGCTTTGCAGAAGGGGAATTTGGCATTTTTCCAGCTGCTCTGTTTGAGCTGTGGATTAAGTGCTTGGCCTAGATCCAGCAGAGCTCTGCCTTCTCAGTGTCAGCACGAGGCCAGAAGTGCTGATCTCAGTGCAGTGGAGATGAGTTTCCCTTTCCTGAGCTGCACGTGTCCTGCACCGACACAGAGTAGTGAGCCCCAGCGATACGCTTACATGGATACTGGGATATTATCCTACTTCCCTAATCCCTGTTTTCTTGCTTTCAGGATTGTGAGCGTGAAGGAGACTCGGCTGACAAGTCTTGTGGCAAACTTCTTGGTTGGTCTCTCGCTCCTGCTCCTCCCATTCCCTCTCCAATGGATCCCAAAGCCAGTCCTCTATGGCCTCTTCCTCTATATCGCGTTGACCTCCATTGATGGTAACCAGCTCTTTGAAAGGGTGGCTCTCCTGCTCAAAGAACAGGTACACAGACTGGGGCACCAGCCTGGTGGAACAGAGAAGGAAATTGTATTTACAACCTTGACACCAAGCTGTGTCAGGAGCTAACATGGAAAACTGCTGGTGTTGGGGTTATCCCCAAAACTCATGTTCTCAAGAGGCTGATTTCCAGCTCCAACATGCACTTTGCATATCCTTTCTGTGGAAAGAAGGAGTGGAACTTGGTGGTCTCTAGTTGAGACTGGCTGTCACTGAGACACGAGCAAGAGAAGTCTTTTCCATTAAAGTGGACAGATGAGTGGGAGACGACACTGACAGACAGTGTCAGACAACAAAAGCAGCGTGGTTATCGTTAGGTTAAAAACAGGTGGTAGCTGAGCTGGTCATAAATTGCACTGCATCTCATCTGTCTTTCAAATTCTGCACAAATTGCCTTCTGTTTTTCTCTGGCACAAAAGCATTTGAGCTTTCTTGTTCAGAGTGATGTCTCAGATATAATCCTTCTTTTTTGTTTTTTTTTTTCAATCTACTAAGAATTGCTGGAAGCCAGTTCTCTAGAGGCAAAGATGAGTGTATGGATGGAGCCAGGATAGCTGCTACCAGTGATGACACCCCCTAAACTGTGTAGCTTGTAAACAAAAAATATATTCAAACAATGCCTTTTTAGAAAACCAACTGTACAAACTGTTGCTCACTGAACATAGGGTGTTTGTAGGTTTTAAAAACCCACTGTGATGTCGAGACAGCTGCACTTCAAAAACAATTACATGCACTTCAAAAGCAATTCTTAAAAGTATTAGAAAACCATCTGCATTTTGTCAGTAAATGGTGATCTTTAATTTCCCCAACAAAACTTTGAGAACAGGTAATTTTTTGTTGTTTTCTACACTTTCGTTTTGACTTGTGTGAAATATCACGAGAGAGGATTTTAAACTCAAAATGAAATTACCTGCATTATTGAAATGCTTCTGATGTGGGATGAAAACGAATCTGGAAGATCTGTATTCAAGCCATCTCTATTACAAGAGGTGTTAGCTTGCGGTGTAGGCGGTATCTGGGAGTGATAACAAGTCTCCAGCTCTCTTATATAACAAGGGTCAAGAGATTAATAAGCCCAACATTTGGCTCTGCATCTCTACTAATGTATCTTGATCTCTAATATTACATCCCAGAGGTTAAAACTCTGAAATCCAGGTAAAGATTACATTTGTCATGTCAATTTTTGAATGAGGATTGAATGGTAACTGATAGATGTGGAATATTACTTCTGGGCTTAGTACAAATTATGTGTGGAATTTTCCAAGCTTTGGTTTGGGAAAATCAAAGAAGTATTCTCAAATATGGAGATTTCCCTTTTCTGGAAACCTTTTAATGAGTCATGGCACAATTTGAAATCCATTGAGTCTGTATCAGTGCCAGCAGACAGTCGCTCATACTCTTCATTGATGTATAGACAGTGAGTCAAAGCTTGTGCTCAGACATGAGCAAGTAACTGTCAAAAGAAACCACGAGTGATATTTAGTCTATTAATGTCTTTTTTTTTTCCTCTTCTTTCTCAAAAAATGAATAGTTTTATATGAATTGAGAAAATCACTGTAGTCTAAGTACAGCCGCTTCCCACACCTCCCCAGTCTCATCTTCTGGTCTTCCTCTACTGGGGTTTGGCCAAGATAATGGAACACCACCAGGGACAAGCATCTAGTCTGATCAGTAGAGGACAGTAGGCTATAAAATAATTAGGAATTTGGTTTCAGATGGAGAAACCATCCAGAAGTAACAACACCCGAATGTATCTGCTTACCATCGGCCCCTTGCACACCATCACAGGCACTTCACGTGTTGCTGTAAAGCCCTGATAATCCTCCTCAGGGGAATCTCATTATTGTACTTATCAAGATATTTTATTGCACTCCAGATGCTCCTAAAGGCAATCTTGTCTGTGTGGTGTGTCTTGTCTTCCCCAGATTTCTAGTGCCCAGTCATCTTCTGTGTGTTGCTGCCAATGTTGTGGTTTAAGGCAATTCCTTTAACCCTACAGATCCTGCCTCCAGCTGTTGAACCTGTTAAGGACTCTGATGTTGATGCACTTTCTGTGTGTGTGTGTATAAACTGATGATTTCCTTAAAACCCTTGTGTTCAAAAGCCCCTGACACATTCTGCAGTCACAAGTCCAGGTTGCTGCATCTCTAATGTGCAATTCTTCTCTTCCCAGACTGCTTATCCTCCGACACATTACATCCGCCGAGTGCCCCAGAGGAAGATCCACTATTTCACAGGCTTGCAGGTCCTGCAGCTCCTCATCCTCTGTGGTTTTGGCATGTCACCATTGCCCTACATGAAGATGATCTTCCCACTCATCATGATAGGAATGATCCCAATCAGGTATGAAGCTCTTGCAGGCTAAGCTTGGCTGTCTCTCTTTCCTGTCTCCTATGCCTTTTGTCTGCAGGCTTCAACTGCAGGAAGTCTGAGTGGTCTAGAAGGGCACCTGGTACTTTCCTGAGTAGCCAGGTCCTAGAAGTGGGTGCTGGTGACCTCTTCCTCACCAGTTGCTCAGGCTTGAGGCAGGATAGTGCAGAGAGCCTGTGATTTCATTGGTGCTGGCTGTTGTGCAAGGGGTTCTGGGCTGGCAGGTACATTTCTTACAGGTAGGAGAGAGACAAATAAGTCTCCTTTTGCAGTCTGTGAGATGCCTGATCTTCCTGAGGAGCTGTAGTCTGAGCCTTCCCTGAGTCTGAGGCATTTGATAATGTTCCTTTCTGTTTTTCAATTTGATTTCCTGAGACTTGGGCTCAGAGCAGAGCTAGAAACTTGTCCTAAGAGGAATCCTTATCTCTTGTCCAGTGCTGTGGTGACCTTACAGGTGACCTGCATTGCTGAATGACTTTTCAAATGATCAGTTAGGTCAAACTGGCCACATTTAGTCTTAAAATGTATCTTTAAAACTGAGAGGACCCTGCAATATCTTGCAGTCTTGAGAGAGAACAATTGAGAAATTTAACTAATTTCTTTCTTGATGTTCATTACCAGTGACTGCCCATCATTCTCCAGTTAAATCATTCATGTTCTCCATCCTTTGGATATAATGAGAAGCCATAATAAGATCTTGGAAGGAACAGATTTGTTTCCAGTCTGCTTGATTATTTTTAGGCCAATATGGCATCCAGTGATATCTGGTTGTCTTTGAGCTTGCAGTCTCAGAGATTTTCTATCTGATCTTAGTTCAGGGCTACCAATGTGATAATCTGCAAAGGCAGCTATTGTGGTGTTTTCCTTGGGTGATAAAGATGCATCCAGTTCTTTCTGAAATAAAAGCAAATGTCAAAACTACTGTGGCTTTCAACGGGATCGGGTTAGAGCTATTTGGATTAGATTTTTAAAGATAAACAAAATCTTGGAAAACACTGAAATTATTGTTTTTATGGTAAGAGTCTCTCACTCACCCTTCACATAAGTGTCACTTTGGATGACTGGTTAAGTGGTTGGTAAATGCTTCAGCTGTGTGCAGTGCTGGTTGAGTGACTCTTGTGGGAATTGCAAGTCTCTGCACAGAGCAGCTCAGTAGAGAAAAGAAAACGTGGGACACTCTGCCAACCATTCAAGTATCACACATAGTGTAATAACCTTAAATTAGTGTGGAGAGGTGCTGTCAAAGAACCTGGTTTTGTAATAAGAGCTAGATAATTTAATGGTGCAAATATATCTTCTTTTGAGTAAATAAGATACTGTCATCTTATACTAGCTCTGTTACAAACTTGTTTCTCTTTCCACAGCAGCTTTTTCTAGTAGCTGGATAATCAGCCCTGCTGCTCAGGAGCTGATGGTGCTACCTGGCACAACAGAGAAGTTTGCCCTTGGCTTTCCTTTCTCTGATATCTTTTGCCTTCCTATAGCTTCTGTGGACTCCAGACAAGAAGGCAGCACCATGATGCATGAGCTCTGTAGTTAACAATGACTCTTTCACAAAGATTTGGCACTCTAAATAGATGAGACAGAGAAGAAGAAATGAAATATCTTTTCTCCTTCCCTTTTTTTTTTTAAGTGAAGGAAGGAAGAGCAGATGGGAGAGTAGCCAGGGGTCAAAGTCAAGAATCAAACCCAGATGAGTGAGTCATGGCTCAGTGTCCCATCCAGAAAACCAGCCATGATACTTGTCTGCCTCGAAGCCACATTTCACAGAATCACAGAATTGCCTAGATTGGAAAAGACCTTTAAGATCAGGAAGTCCAATCATTAACCTCATGCTGACAACACTTCCATCTATCCGACAGCATTAGACGTATGATTTGCATTGTCAGTGGTGAGGGACCATCTTTTCCCACTGGTGTAGTGTTAATGTGAAAGATAATGGATTTCAAGGGCTTCTTATTCTTGCAGTGGAGAACAGCCTGTTGGGAGAAAATGTGATCTTTTTTAATATCCCCTGTTCCTGGCTTTGATTCAGAGCTTTGGGTTAACTAGTTTTTGGTTACACTCTAATCCTTGCTCTGGGGAATACTGAGGTTAAGGTTACTTGGAGAGGAAGAATCTTCTTTCCAAGTTTTCTGTGATGCTTATCTCTGCTCCCATGGCTCTCAAGCATTTTATTTCATGACAAGTCTTTTTAAGCAGATCCTGGTACTTCTCAGTAGTAAATGCTGTTTGGGATCTCTTGCATAGCTATTGAAAAGGCCCTTCCAAGTCTTAAACTGACTTCCTAGTTCTTTGTGCCTTATTTTAACAGCTGAAGAATAGCTTCCTTGTTGAGCAAGGAAAAGTAATAAACTAAATATGCAGTAGGATTTAATGAGAGCAACTTCATTGCATGTTTTTACAGTACCTTGCCTTCCTCATCGAAGTACCTTAATTCATGAGATGTTCTTGCAAACAAATTAATGAAAAACAAAAGACAGTTACTGTCTCCATGATGTAGTGGAAACCAGGAAGGGATGGAGGAATGAACATCACAGCCCTGCTTAGCCTCTTGACAAGGTCTCCAGTCTTGCTGATATATTTGGTACCTCTCTAACACCAAAGCTTCAGGAATGTCTATTAAAGCTTCTTTGTGGGAGAGCTGAAAGAAGTGATCTGGGGTACTTGGAGAACTGAGGAAGAGCAAGACATGGCCTGCCTACGTGGGTGTTTGAGCCAGCCCTGTAAATTCAGAGGAGCATTTCTCCAGTGAGCTCTCCAGTGTTGTGATGAGTGTAAGGTTGCATCAGGTGGGGTTTGTGTGTTGGGAAACTATAAGGAAAATGGTGAAGAAAGTAGAAACTAGAAGTAAATGGTGATTCTTGGCAAAGTAACTCATCTGGTAGCAAACTGGAGGCAACGGGAAGCTTTTGGCTGCCTCCCCAGCACAAACCAGGAGCGTAGCTGTGGGTCAGGTGAAATGGTACATTTTTGTAAGCACCTGCAAGGCTTTGTGGTGACAGAATGCTCTAGGAAAGGGACTTTCCTCTTCAACTGAATTGAGGTGGCTTCTTTCAGGAGGAGCTCTGCACTGTTATTCCTATAAATGTTGTATTTACTTGCAGGATTGGTTGTTTTTACTTTCTCCCACTTCATCTGCATTAACTGCTTGAAAGAGTCCAGCACAGAGCCACCAAGATGATGGAGTGGAGCACCTCCCTGATGAGGAAAGGCTGAGGGAGCTGGGGCTCTTTAGCTTGGAGAAGAGGAGACTGAGGGGTGACCTCATTAATGTTTATAAATATGTTAAGGGCGAATGTCAGTTGGATGGAGCCAGGCTCTTCTCAGTGATGCCCAATGGTAGGACAAGGGGCAATGGGTGTGAGCTGGAACACAGGAGGTTCCGCTTAAACTTGAGAAGAAACTTCTTTACAGTGAGGGTGACAGAGCCCTGGGACAGGCTGCCCAGAGAGGTTGTGGAGTCTCCTTCTCTGGAGACATTCAAAACCTGCCTGGCGGCCTTTCTATGTGATCTCATTTAGGTTCCTGCTCCGGCAGGGGGATTGGACTGGATGATCTTTCGAGGTCCCTTCCAATCTCTGACATGATTCTGTGATCTCCGCTTCAGCTGAGTGACTGTTTTATGCATGGCCATGGACAAACTCAACTGGGAGTCTTGGGACAGGCAAACAAAATGTTACCTGAATAAAAACAAGCACTAATGCTATCTCTCTGGTTCAATCTTAGGTATAACCTGCTCCCTAGGATCATTGAAGCCAAGTACTTGGATGCTATGGATGCAGAGCACTAAACGGGGTCCCCCCGCACACAGAGCAGCGAGGACAGCTCTTTCAGAGTTGGAAGGCAGCTTTGCCGAGGCGTAGAACAATTTATCTGCAGTTCTTTTCTTTCACCACTTTCTTTCTGCTCTCCTATGGCGTTGGTAATGCACACACCTATCAAAGACCAATTGAGCGTTGAAGTGTCAGACCAAAACAGCCTTGGACTTGGGAGGCCGATGCTCTTTGGAGTTGTGAGGCAAGCAAGCTTTATGGAAATGCTACTTTCTACATCCCAAAACTGGAAACCCCAAAGATCAGCATGTCCGTATGGTTGGAGCATGGGTCCTCAGAGTTGTCACGTGTTCCCTTGTTTGAGGGGTGGGGGGAAATCTCTTTTTATGCACCACGTCCCTTTCTTCCAAAACACTATAAGGACAACTGACCCTTCTTTTACAGAATGACAGTCCCGTTCTGGCCTTTGAATTAAATTTCCTGTGCATCCAGTATTCCCAAATTGGTATTCTGGGTGGGGTGGCCTCATGTTAAACCACTGATGTCAGCAGAGATGTCTGGCCATCTCTTCAGATTAGCAGGGTTGGAAACAGATTTAATTTATAATGATACAATCTCCATCTTTGGATGAATATTTAATTCCTACAAATGAGCTGGAAATGTGTAGAGGTTGAGCTCGCGTGGTGATGTTGATGAAACCACATCTGGGTCTAAGCTATTTGGGAATTATTTTGGATCTTTTTACTATTACTTCTCAGTAATCAAATACAGAAGTGTAGTTTTGCACAACTGCAACGTTCTTGCTTGCACCCGGAGTCAGATACTGAAACTTGTCAAAGGGCAGTTGCGTTAATGATTGCATATACATATGTACAGTAGTGCCTATGTGTACATATATACATATGGATTTGTGTATATATTTTGCATAGATATACAAATAGGCCTGATTCTTTCAAAATATCAAAAGTGTTTTGTGCAGTCAGTGTTACCTGTGAAGTCTTGACCATATACTTGTTCTTTGCTTCAGTGCTGCTTTTTCTCATTTGAGATACAGTCACTTTTTTTTCCTTTGGAAGCTGCTCGGTTACTGGTTTTGTTCATGTGTTGCTTTATTCAAGATGTTCCTTTGCTTTCTTCTTCCCATAGCTTGAGACCTTCATCATTCTGTCTTAATGCTCCAACATGTGAATTTTGCATTTAATTTTAATGTACAGCATGCAATGAAAGTTTTCCTCTTTCACCTAATCAATATTTGTTGGTCAGTTCATTGTTTCTGTTTTGTAGCTAATCTCCAGTTTTCCCCCCCCAACTCCCAGACATTATATTATATTTCTGGATGAATCTAACTTCTGCTGTCTTTTATATTTCAGTTTATTTAATTTTGCTTGTACTATGGTCAGTTTTCTTATTTGGAGTACTGTGAAACAAGCTGCCCTTTAGTTCAGTGCTTGCCCTTTGCTGCACCCTACAGATCACAGGTAAAGTGTTAAGAAAAATGTGGACTTCTGAAGGCAAATGAACTTTCAAAAGAGTAGAAATGCAGGGAAAAGTATAATACAAAATGAAATGCAAATACATTCTTGGCACAGAGAAGTGTTGCTTACTAAATGGCTTGGCCAGTAAATGGTGCAGAGTTTTTATCAGCACATGCCCTACGGATTGGGTGTTCCTTTGCATGATGAGGAAGACCAACTCTATAACGAGGGAGGAAGGCATTGGGTAACAAAGCTCCTGTGCTGAAACTAAGCCAGACTCAAGCCACTGCAGATTTGGTGTATTTGCACTAAATATCAGATGGATTTCATCTTAATGTAGCTGCCTATGGCTTTTAAAACATGTATGAAAAACTAGATTTTTATTTTCTTATGAAACCCTTCATCTTCATATTGATACTTGATGGAGGAGAGGAGTAAGAGTGTTCCCAAGAACGTGGCTGTGGTTTCTACATCCCCAAACAATCACAGGGGAAAGCCCTCAGCTTAGCAAGTAAAACATTGTGTGACCTTGAAAGCATGACCTTCATGTTGTACCAACCAACTCTTGTGGGACTGCTGAGAAGTCTCAGGGTCAGGATGACCACCCTAGTACATCAAAGCAGGTAATGCCACCTATTTGGCTTTCAGTCATTCTTAGAGGCAGCAGGGGTAACTCCTGCTGTGTCTGATCAGTGGCATGACAGCAGGTATAAATCCATGCATGGTTTCTGACCACCTTTGTCAATATTTCCTGGCTTTTGAGTCATTTCTGTGGTGAGATCACTAAGAGCTGTTGCTAAGGTCTACACGTAGAAACGGGACAAACAGTCAACAAACAGGATTTCGGGGCAGTGCAAAGGTGGAGGTGGTAAAAGTATGTCTGATCTTCAGTCAACAGCAAAAGAGCAGGTGACAGCAAACAGTTCAGGACCTGTTGTAAGACAGGGAGTGCAAAGGCCTGATGATGCTGAAGTAACATGCTTTTCTCCTAGATGTCAAAAGATTTAACCAAAGGTAGAATGAAAAACATCATCCTGTGGTTGATGCAGCTATTAAACGCACGTGTCCTGGGGTTGCATTTCTGGTGTCTCAGCTCTTGGCAGGAAGAAGTCACTCTGTGAGCTGTTTTAAATCATATCGTAGATGCTGTGGCTGGTGGAAGGACATGATGTGCACAGGGGAATGTGGCTCTGGTCTTCTTTGAGGAAGAGGAGAGGCCCTGGGTGAAATTTCCTCCAGCCCAGAGCATGGTGGGGTGAACTGGCATGCAGGTCTTGCCAGAGGAAATAGTTTTGAGATGTGCCCTCCATCCCTCCCACTTAGAAGGACCAAAAATATCCCCGTTTAAAGCCTCTTTGAAAACATCGATTTCAGATAGTGCCAAATGTTACTAACTGAGATAATTTAAAATCCAAATAGCTTGGAGGGGTTAAATATCCATCACAACTCTTGTTTATATGTTTTATCGCTGTTGCTTTACCAGTATGACTTTAGTGTTTGTGTTTTCTTTGTAGTATCAATAGGATTCACTTTCACAGGTTTTTCTTCTGAGGGAAGTCAGAGGCCAAAGAATCAACTGATGGGAAATTGGCACAACTTGGGGAAAGAAGTTGTGCTGGCTTAGACTGGTTGAACATTTGGACCCATGTCTCAATATATGGGTAGAAGGAGGATGTGAGACTTGAGGCCTCCTAAGGGGTTGTAATAATCCTTTTTTTCATGCAAATACCTTTTCTCTTCTTGTTTGCTTCTGGTTTTGCTGACTTAAGTGCAGGTGTTTCCAAGAAGTAGGTTAACTAGGGAAGGAGAGTTTGTTCAAAATTGATTGAGCACTTTAATACTTCTGTGAAGGTTAAGACAATTAGAATGTAAAAGAAGTTTTATTATAAGCTCTTTATATACGCACAATGCTATGTATAACTGTTGCCAAAGAACTGGGTTTGAAAGATGTTGATAGCTATTAAGAGAGTCCATGGTGTTCAGCTGGAACCATAAGATAGTAAAAAGCTTCTGAAACGAGTGGATTTTGGAAGTTACCTTTTGACAGCTGCCAAAACGATCAGAAACTGAGGACAGAATAAACTTCTACTCTCAAACTTGTAGTTTTTGATCCTCGCGTTGAATGTAGGAGCTAGAAGTTAGCTTGACAATTAAAATTAGAGATATACCTGAATAGTTTTGTTGGTCTGAGACTTATTTTGTTGCCTTCAAAAATACTGTTGACACACTATGTATGGAAATAGATGTGTTTATCCACGTAATTTAAGGAAAGTTGGTGAAAACATGGACTGCTGAACAGGCAGCACAGCACTTTCTAGAGTGATTATGAAGCAAAGCTGACAACTTCACTAGCAACAATCCCTAAATTCTCTGGTATCAACATTTGAAGCAAATAATAAATGTCAAGTTCTACTTGGATATGCATCAGTGCATTGCTGCGAAAGGATGGGGATGGAGTAAATGAATTGAACTGGTTTGCTTCAGAACTGCCATCTGGTGAAATGCTTCAAGATGAGCCCAGCAACTATGGGATATGATACACCCTTCCTGGTGACCTGTGTGAACTGGGACGCTCTGAAAACAAATACGGTATCTGATCATGTTTCCATAGACTGTAGGGCAAACAGTTCTCCCCAAAAAGTCCACATCCCCAGCTGTACCAAAAGACTTGAAACTGTTTGTAAACTTCTGCATCTCGTATTTGGCTGCTTTAGAAACTGGGGGGGAACCGTGTTCTGTGGACACTCTTTGAAGGAACATAAAGTTGGTCAAAGCTGGAGAATGATTATGGGCAGGAGGGAAGGTTTGGTTTTGTTGGTTTTTGGGGTTTTTGTGGGTTTTTTTTCTTGTTTTTTTTCTTTCTTGTGGAGTTCTCAGCAACAAAAAAGAAGCCATCTCACCAAAAGCACCTACCACTTTCTAGTCTGTGTCCCACTACACAAGTATCTACACTATCTGTTGGCACGTGTTCATGTTACTCCTTGATCAAGTCTTCTTTTTCTTGTTCATTGTATTCTGTATCTGCCCTTTGTAGTGTTTCTACCTGCCTGGAAGTTTAACAGGTAGAATCAGGGTTGGCTTAAGCTCATTTTATGTGTCCATCCTCCCAAAACTTCAGTGCAAGCAGTTTTCTCTGTCATCTCCTGACCCAGCTCTTCTCTGGAAGTCGGCTCTAGCATCCCCACTGTGGAAATGTTGCCGAAGTGCTGAGTGGGTATTTTTCTCTGGAGAACTCAAGCCTGTGTCTGAGCAGCAGAGTGGCACTGACTGCTCCCTCGGGGCTCACTTTGCCACAATACATAATTACGAAGGATTCGTAATTGTCCTACAGTTGCACTGTCTTCTGCATCTCTTTAGACAATTACTTTATGGCGCAGTGTTCCAGTTGGGTTGTCCTTTCATCTGTCAAGCTTCCAAAATGACTTAAATAGCCATAATGGGATGGGTTTGCCCCATTTTCTATCTGCGCTGAGGCTTGTGGATGTGTGATGTTAGAAGAGAATAGTCTTCTCTAATTGTTTTCATATCTAATTAAGGCGTTTAAGTACCAAACCCTGTCCATTACACTACTGGCTGCGGATCTGGTTGCAAAGAGCAAATCATCAATATTGTGTAAAGAGCAGACAGATGAGGGAGTTGCTGGGTACATGCTTTAGAAATACAAATTAGCACTTTCCTCTTCAGCTTTTCTGTGTTTTCCTTTCAAACTAAGACAATCTTTGGCTTGTGTCTGTCTTTCCCTTGTAGAAAAACTCTGCCTGAGCTTGGATCGCTTGGCACTGTTCTGATGTCGCATTAAATATTAAGAATGTGCCCTGGGGGAGATGCTGCCTTCTGCTCCCCATCTGCATCTCTGCTGCAAAGAGCTGCTGCCTTGGAAAGCTGAGGG